CTCCTTCTTTTGGCCATGGGGAGGGAGTCCTTCCCTAAATCTGTTTAAGGCAGAAAGCACGGTATAGAAACGTAAAGTGTTGTTTCTTCACAGCTTTTTTCAGAAGTTATTGTCAGTCACAAGTAACGGACCCATTCTTGCGAAGGCTAATGTAGCAACTGAAATAAAATTTTCTTGGTTAAATATTGACTAAAACTTCTGAATGTACTTGTGAAACGATTCTCGTTAACACTCTCAACCTATTGTGACATTTAGTCACTCTTCAAAGAATGTGAAAAGATGTTTTATTTGCATGATTTGACGCAGTCCACTTCTTTCAAATGACACTATTGAAAATTCAAAAACAATGGATTTTCCTCTGTTTTTTTCCCCAAAAATAAACTCGATAGATGTTAGAATAGGTTAAAAGACATTTTATGCCTTTTGAGCGGCTTTCATTTGTAATGCTGTAATTTTTGCAGGGAATTCGCATTGAGTTCTTTGAAAAGATAGATAGTTGGAGGTTGTCTTAGAATTTGCAGATCACTTGCGCAAGGGTTAGAGGAACAATGAACGCAAATATCGTTCTGAAGGTCTATTTCCTTAATTCTCAATAGGTCGGGTATTCGATTCCTTGTCTAATTATTATGAGTTATTATTTCAGGTGAATTCTTATAAGGAAAAAATTTGCGTAAGAATTTTTTGTTTCTCGACCATGCATTGTGCTAAGTCTTATCTCATCTGTGTTTGAATGATTACTTTCAACGAACACTAAACTTCTCTTCACAAGATGCTTATCTGAGATATATAGTGAACTTAACTATTTTGTAGTCTAGGTCGAGGGTTCGTTTGCATATTCATCATCGAGGTTGAAACCTCATAGTTCACCTCAAAACAATGTTAATCATAGTGCTAAGAACCATAGACAAACCATAGCATATCCTGGTCTATCATAAGTAAGCATTTGCCAATAGTTCTGTTTACAGTTCTAAAAGCTCAACGGCCTTTGAAATCTGACCCAACCTGGATGTTATGTCTTTTGTGCAGAAAATTGCCAAGATGTTCTGAAGTAATGGTTCGATTGACGAGAAGTCCAGCCAATGTGGTGATTGAGGCAGGGATTTGTAGCCTATTCACTTATTTTCAAATGGTCACATATAAAATTGGTAGTTTCTTGCAATCATTAAAGCACCATAATAAAACTAGATTTAGCTTAACCTTGCTTCAAGCACCGCACTAGTCGCAACTCTCACAATACCAATTCCTTAGAGCATTTGCCACAGGTATCATATCACCTTTAGCTGATTGCTGCCACTCCTATATTTAAGTTCCATCTTTGAGATTCCCTCTTCCCGGTGCAAGTTTTTTGAGATGCTGCCACTGTGCAGTGTATATGTTAGTAGTCAGAGTGCGAAACACATAGCTATGTACTATAGGAACTCCAATCCCTTTTCTCTGACAGAGTTCGGGTTAAAGAAATTGCTCAAACTTGCCCTTGCTGTGTGTGGTTTTTCTTCCTAAAATTCTGTAATAAACTATTTTGTAAAAAACGAATGCAAAACTTAGATAGAGCATAAGATGCGTTTCGCAATAATGTTAATGATATAATAAATGTAATATTCAACCAAGTTTTACATCCAAACAAGAATCAAACCATAGCTACCATAATATAAACGAACCTTCTTACCAACTTAATAAAAAAGCCAATAATATTAAATGTCAATCATCCGCAATTGAAGCTCTAAATAGTTGCAAATAACAATCCACAATTGTAGTGCGAACCCTTCGTACCTTATTATCAGTTTCTACGGGGCCGCCAACAGATGAGAGAAAGGGACTTGCGATCGTTGTTGCACATGACATCATTCGAGAACCTATATAAGAGATTATCACCTATATCCACATAGCCATAGACATGCAATCCCGACTGCTTATATCCGTTTTAGTGATCATTATAGGTTTAGGTTTGTTTTTGGTGCTTTGTGGTATGTTCAAGTTTTACATTTTATTATTTTTTAGCCGTGGTGAGTAAAGCTAAACCGCAACACCATCATTATCATAGCCATAGCCACCGTCATAGCCACAGTTCCGAAAGGTCAGTTCTGCAAAGTCTACTTTCGTAAGCTGACCAACTTATTCACCAATGTTCGACTTTTTCAAGCGTTACTTACGATCTTCTTCAATGAAAAAAAATTCGTGGGATTTCAAAAACTCACAAATCTAAGAATTGATAATTGGTATCAGGATTTAATGAAACATTATCTTGCATTTTCCATCTTTCGTTAGGCTGGCAAACATGAGCAAAAACCTATAATAAGGCATTACATTCTACTTTATCGCTTGACCAGTTACGTTTGGGGTTGGCTTAAAACAACACTGTGAAGTCCATTCTTGCAGTGGAGGCACTCTGCAGTAATCGTAATGACTAATTAGCAATAAATGTAGCCACTGTCACATTTTTCAAGAAGCACGAAACGAAATTTTGCTCTGACATAAAGAAAATTTTCAACCTCATTAGATCAAAGAAATGT